AAGAATTTTTTTTTCTTATATAATAAATTTTTGCCATATAAAATTTTTTAATGATTTTAATTTTAAGAATGACTTTTATTGTAGGAATGAATTATATTTTAATAATGAATTTTGTTTAGACAATGACTTTTATTTTAATAATGAATTTTGTTTTGACAATGACTTTTATTTTAGTAATGATTTTTGCTGAGACAAAGACTTGTATATATTGGTAATGACTTTTGTTTAGACAAAGACTTTTATTGATATAAAAAATCCCCTATCCCCTATCCCCCATGGGGGGCGGGGCACTGCAACTCCTCAAAAATCAGCTTTATGAGTCGGCCCCGACCATATTACTGTCGTTAGAGAGACAGTAATATGACAGTTTTGACCAAACCCATTGCTCATTTTATATTATAAATAAAAGTAATAGAAATTCATTAATTCTTTTAAAAAGAATAATGTGGTGTTAATATCACATATAAAATCCCATTATTTCGATATGTATAGCTCCTCACAAGTGCTAATAATAAAGGAAACTTTGTCAAAAATGCCTTTATGCTCATGAAGTTGACAGCTTAGAAATTATTCCTATTAAGAAATTCCAAGAAAAGGCTCTCCAGAAACTACAAGACTCCAAGCTAAACCAGACATCAGAGTTAACCTAACACCGTATGGCTTTTCAATCTGTGTTATCTGAAACTGAAACTATGATGAAGCAAATATGTTAAGCTCTATCAGAAGCGATCAAAAATATTTATGATATGATTGAGAAGGAAAACAACTCATACATAAGTCTTATAAACTAAAATCCGGCAGAATGCTCCAATATGGATTTAGAAAAGTAAGTCTCTATTGTTGTAGGACAAACAATATTAAGTGATTGGAAGGCTTAGAAGAATTCCTACATGTAAGAGTTGGAACGGACAAAAAATTGGCTGGATAAAGAAATTAAGGTTTTTATTAAGAAGTCAAATGAAGGAATAAAGAAGATTCAATCAGTGATTAAATAATAAGTTTAAATCCCAGAGTATCAGCCAAAGAAAGAGTTGTCAGAGATCTTAGCTTCTGTTAATGTAGTTGATGAATCGATGTTCAGTGTCCTTATAAAGATGTTAAAATAAGAAAAGATTTCAGATTGTATAAACTTTCTTTCAAATCCTTTAACTGAATAGATTTATGAAAAATATATCAATTATACAAGGGATTTTAATAGGGGAATAGATAGTACAATTTATATTTCAAAAATTCTGAAAAATATCTAAGAGTACTCTGATTATTCTTTAAAGAGTTATGAAAAAACCATAAAATTAGCTTATAATAACAAAATCATAAAATTCTTAACATTTCTCATTCATCTAACCTCTTTAGATGAAAAATTCATCAAATGCGGATCCAATTCTTTTCATTTATTAGTGTATTTAAAGGTAGATCTGACTAATTAAAATTTTGAGGATGTTAGGATAAAAAATACCTCATTGATTGGGGGCAACTTTGCCAGATGTAATTTTAGTGGATCAGTATTTGAAAATGTAGACATAAGTGGAGTGAACTTAAACGGATGTTTACTTTTGAACTGTAAATGGGAGAAAATAAAAATACATGAACTAAACATTTTGGATAATCATACTGACACAATCTACTCAGTTTGCTGCTCTCCTAATAGTACTACATTAGCATCAGGTAGTGCAGATTAGTCTATCCGCTTATGGGATGTTTAAACAGGAGAATAAAAAGCCAAATTAGATGGTCATACTAGGACAGTCTACTCAGTTTGTTTCTCTCCTGATGGGACTACATTAGCATCAGGTAGTGAAGATTAGTCTATACGCTTATGGGATGTTTAAACTGGAGAATAAAAAGCCAAATTAGATGGTCATTCATCTACTGTCAACTCAGTCTGCTTTTCTCCTGATGGTGCTACATTAGCATCTGTTAGTGGTGAATGGAGGGGTAATGATAACTCTATCCGTTTATGGGATGTTTAAACAGGAGAATAAAAAGCCAAATTAGATGGTCATTCATCTACTGTCAACTCAGTCTGCTTTTCTCCTGATGGTGCTACATTAGCAACTGGTGGTGATGATTCCTCAATACGTTTATGGAGTGTTGAAAAAAGAGAATAAAAAGCCAAATTAGACCTTGGTGGTTTTGCCACCTCAGTTTGTTTCTCACCTGATGGTAGTACTTTGGCAAATGGTAATAATTAAGGCGGCTTAGTCTAATTGTGGAATGTTAAAACAAGAGAAGAAAAAGCCAAATTAAAACATGATGATCGGGTCTTCTCAGTCAGTTTCTCTCCTGATGGTAGAACACTAGCCTCTAGTAGTTGGGATTATTCTGTTCGTTTATGGGATGTTAATACAGGATAATAAAAAGCCAGATTAGAGGGTCATAGTAAACGTATTTATTCTGTGTGTTTCTCTCTTGATGGAAATACATTAGCATCTGGAGGTGAGGACAAGTCTATTCGTTTATGGGATGTTAATACAGGAGAATAAAATGCAAAATTGGATGGTCACAAAAAAAAAATCTTTTCAGTTTCTTTCTCTACAGATGGTTCTACTTTAGCATCTTGTAGTTATGATAAATCCATCTGTTTATGGGATGTTAAAACTGGATAATAAAAAGCCAAATTGAATGGTCATAGTGATTATATTAATTCAGTCTGCTTTTCTCCTGATGGTGCCATTTTGGCATCTGGTAGTGTGGATAAATCCATCTGTTTATGGGAGGTTAAAACTGGATAATAAAAAGCCAAATTGAATGGTCATAAAGATTGTATTAATTCAATCTGCTTCTCTCCTGATGGTACTACTTTGGCATCTGGTAGTGGTGAATATGAAATTAAAGATAACTCCATTCTTTTATGGGATGTCAAGACAAAGAAACGAATAGCTTAATTAAAAGTTCATACTGGAGTTGTCAAGCAAGTCTGTTTCTCACCTAACGGTAAAATCTTAGCATCTGGTAGTTATGATAAGTCGATCTGTATATGGGATGTTAAAGTAGGAAAATAAAAAGCCAAATTAAATGGTCATATTTCTAGAGTAAGATCAGTCTGTTTTTCCCCTGATGGTACCATATTAGCGTCTGGTAGTGAGGATAAATCTATTCTGTTATGGGATGTTTAAACTGGATAATAAAAACTTAAATTAAAGGGTCATACAGGCTTTATATTATCGGTTTGTTTCTCTCCTGATGGTACAACTTTAGCATCTGGTAGTAGAGATCGGTCTATCCGTTTATGGGATATTAAAATAGGATAGTAAAAAGCCAAATTGGATGGTCATACTGAGGATGTAAAGTAAGTCTGTTTCTCACCTGATGGCACTATCTTAGCATCTTGTGGGGGAGGTGGATAATTTTATTGTGCAGATTGTTCTATTCGTTTATGGTTTGTAAATACAGGATAATAAAAAGCTAGTTAAGATGATCATAATGACTATGTAGGTTCAGTCTATTTATCTCCCAATGGTACTACATTGGCTTGTGATAGTAAAGATAATTCTATCACTTTATGGGATATTCAATCAGGTTAATAAATAGTCTAATTGGATAGTATTCGAGAAGATGTCAAATCGGTCTATTTCTCTCCTGATAGTACTACATTTATAATTGAAAGTTATAATGACTCTATCAATTAATGGGATGTTAAGACTGGGTAGTAAATTCAACCAATAGATTAACGTTACAAAGATAATTTATGTCAACTATTTTATACTAGTCATCTTGAAAGTAGTATTATCTCCAATATTACAATTCTTCGCATATCAAAATCATTACTATTTTAAGCTTAAAATTCGATTATATTAAAAGGAGAATTTATAAATTATTAAGGGAAAGATTTAAAATCATTAATTAAATCAAAAGGAGGCATTTTTTGTACACAAAAATAGAAGAATTTACCAGAAGAAATGATTATTAGTAAATCAAAAATTAATTGAATATTTATTAGATTTTTCATTTCATATATTTTGAATCCTAAAAATAATTTGTTATTTAAATTATTTATTTATATATCCTTATATTATTATGAGATACTTTAGGCGAGGTGTCTAAAGAAATGAATACCATATATTGTTTCATTTTTATAAAAACTATTGTTTAAATCTTAAACTTTTGAACTTTTATTAAATAAATTTTAAATTTTGAAAAATTAGGAGATAATATATTGAAGATGAAAAGTAAAACAGGTATTACTTCAAAATACAAAGTGTATATAATAATAGCAATAAAAAGTTGCATAGAAGAAACAAATAATTAAATTAGTTAACCATTTTGTTTAAAAATTTTACTATTTTTGTACAAAAATTTATCTTTTTCCAAAATTTTGATTAAAAATGAATTTTTATTTAATATTTAAAAAAATTCAAATTAAATCAAGATTCTAATTGGAGAAGCGTTCACAAAATAAACATTGTGTATTTAATAATAGTTGTAGAATTATTAAATATAAGTAGTCTTATATTTATGCTTTTATTTGCACTTGTATTGTCTTTAATAACTTGACAGCTGAGTCGCCTTAATTTATTTTTTACTTTTGAGCTTTTTATCAGTATTCTCAAACTTATTATTGAGCACTTATTCAAATAAACAAACAAGTTTTTTTTTTATTATCCTAATTGCTCAAACTACTTTTTAAATGTTATTATGAAGAATTTCAGACACAACATCCTTAATCTAATTATATTAAAGATTTATCCTAAAATAATTATGTCATTTTGTTTTAATTATTGTAACTGACTCGAATTATTCTATTTTATATATTAAATCTGCTAGATTAGAAATCTGGAATGCATATTTACAAAGAAAAATTATTCATTTGAAAGTTAAAGTAATAATTTCTTGTATTTTGAATTTTAATACTTGAGTTTAGATAGTTTGAAAGATTTATTTCTTCTAAAAACCCGAAGTGGAATGGTATGATTATTGAGAAGATATATATTAACAAATCTTATGCTGTAATCTGGATAGGCATTCTCAATATTAATTTTAAACTCATATTTTTTTCAATACAAACTGCATCAGAATAATAGTTTATCCTCAGAAATAAAAATGATGGAGGTTATCTACATTTTTCCTTCTGAATAGAAGACAAATTATTAATCGTAATAATTTCTCTTTTTTGAGCGCTTAATTCTTATAAAATTCCAAAACAAAACCAACTAACACTTAAAAAATACGAAAAAATAAATTTATACAAACGAAAACAATATTTTAAAAGTTATATTCAATCAATAAATATATTAATTGAATGAATTAAATTTAAAAAGAAAAGTAATTTTAAATATTATTTACAATATCCATCTTTTCAATGTTTCCAATTTTAACCATCAAATTAGGAAGAAGTATCCTAAGAAATTGAAAAATCTATTTTTTTTAAAGTTTAAATTTCGAATATATGAAATAATAAAAAAGGTAAATAATCACACTCAGCATCAATAAATATAAAACTATTAAATGTGAAAGAAACAATTTAAATAGACTAATTAGAAACCTAACTTATTATCTAAAAGAGAAATCATTAATAAATAATAAGTAAAATTACCACTAAAATTACCAAGAAAAAACTTTTCATACAAAGTGTATGGACAACATAATCCACAAGAGATTCATAGTATACTTTCTTTACATTAAATAAATATAATTCAAATATTTTACTTAAAATGAACTATTAAGTTATAGAAAATCTTTTTATTAAAAATAACCATGATTTATATAAATATTATCATCCTTAATTTGCTAATGACATAATTTCTTATTTTACACTTTTAGAAGTCATTATTTTTAAGTCTAATAGCTAAGTTAATATAATTGTTAATTTACTTTTTATCAAGACTTTAATAGTTTTAAATTTAAGATTAAGAAATTTGTATTCTTTGAGATACTTATGACTACTAAACTTCATTTGAAGATTAATTTTAAGACGTAGGTATCTAAGAAACTTAATTCATTCCAGATTTTCTTGTTACTACTTTAATATTGGCTTACTTAACCCCTGATAATTAATTCACTATCATTTAATCATTATATTTGTCAATAAACATTTATTTTTTTACTTTATTTTCTAATCTTGCATTTTCTAATTCTAAATATGTAAACATAATCGTTATATATGTCATTAGAATTTAGATTTTATTTTCTTATTCTTATCTTATATTTTTCTACCTCTCAATTTCAATATTTAATGTTTGTATTTCATGTTCAGATTCTGTGACTCTCAATTATAATCGCTTTAATTATTCATTATTATTATATTTGATGATTAAGATCTAATTTAAGTTATTTCAATTTTCGTGTTTGTATTATTGTTCTAATCACTATTATTTAGATCTATTCTGATTTAACTCTAGTTATGTTTATTAGAATTGATAAGATAATTATTATATCTCCTAAATATTTTATTTCTACAATCTATCCTCTAAATTCTATCGTTCAATTGTTAATTTTGATATAAACTATTATTCTAATTCATCTCTAATTTACATATTCTTCTTTATATTAATTAATTTCAAATTCGTTACCTTAGTAAACATTAGTAATACGACCAGTTCATTTTTCAATTTGTAATTTATTATACTTAAATTTCCATTAATCCAATTCTTTCAAATAATCAGATATTTAATTGTTCAAAATTTACACTTTCTTTTAAATTTTCAATTTCTAATAATAAGGATTTTTTTACGTAATTTGTAATGTGTAAATTCACTCATCTTGTAGATTAATAAATTATATTAATATCAAATTCATTCTATTTTTGATATCTTGCTAATGTTTATTTCTGATTTCAACAAATCATTCATCTTGCTATCTACATGATTGAATCAGATTTTTATTGTTTTTTAAATAATTAAGTAGTGCTTTTACATTTAACACTTGAAAATATGTTTTCAACATGGGAGAACTTTGACAATTAGGTTTAATCTAATTAATTTATTTATACTTACTCTAATCATATGATCACTTAATTTTGCATATCTATGTATTTAGTGTTACAATGTTTCTAAAAGGATTTGTTTTGTAAGTTCAAGCCTCTTTCATAATTCTTAATTTTCTTCATCTATTTTTATTATTATTTTCTTCTCAAGGGGAGTGCAGCCTCCTTCCCAAAGCATTATCACTTCAAAATGAAGTATCTGACTTAAAGCTAAGCAATCAAATTTGTAAAATTCAACATATTCCTGTAAAAATTCTATCTAAAATACAATTTTATATTCATTAACGACATTAAGAGTATTTTTTGTCTAAAACTTTCTAAAGTCTAATTAGATAAATGTTTTCTTTGCTTTTCATCCATGTTATAAGCAATGTAAAAATTAAAAATCACAGAAATTCTTTCAGAAAGATCTCATAATTCAAAAAATAAAAATGGAATTACTAAATAATGAATTAATTTAATAGAATTCAAAATATAATATATTATTTTATAAACAAAATGGGAAATTTGCCCTCAAATAGAAATGAATTACCAGAATTTAAGAGTGTTTTCTAATAAATGCAAAAAGAATTGTTGTCACAATTCGATGTTCGTAAAAAGATTTAAAAATACGAAAATATTGATAAAGAAGCTTCACTACAATTTCAAAAAATGCTTTTAGAGGTAAAGTAGATGAAGCGATTGAAATTGGACAGAAAAACATCAATTCATTGGTGTTTATCTTATTTAAGCAACTATTTATAAAAAATAGAAACGTTTTGAAGAAGCTGAAAATTATTATAAATAGGTTCTTTAATTAAAGCCTAAAAATACTAAAGCTCTTTCGGTTTATGTAAGAATAATCTTTGAATGTAGTTGATTTATGTATGAAAAAAAGATTACGGAAATGCCTTAAATTATATAAATGAGTAAACTTAATTAATTAAGAGACAATCGAAAATTAAAATCAAACCAGATTAATCCTAGATTAATTCAATCTAATCATAAATCCAAGTTTATAAATCAAAGCAATAAATCATGTATAATTTAGAAGTCATATATTATACTTTTAATTAATTTTTTGTTTTACAAATTCATGCATAATAGATTAGTTCTGCTAAAAATTGCAAAGAATTTATCTACAAAATAAAATATTGAATTATCCAATTTCACTATTTCACTGATTTGATGAGAAAAACAATCTAAAAATTTTATCCAGATTTAAAAGACTTAAGTGTTAATGACATTAGTAACAAGTTAATTTAATGGCATAATAAAAAAAATAAAAGCTGAAGATATTTTTTACACTTACACTAGATTTTCTAGAATATAATATATTCTAATTATAAACAGCAGTTAATTGAGATATTGAATGAAGACTTTTCTCAAAGAATTGAAAGAAAAAATAAGAACAAAGACTTTTATTTATATGTATAATAAATCTCTCATGAATATGAATAAAAAGGTTTTGCAATATACAGAGGTAATTAAAAATTAATTTATTACTTAGAATCTGGTGGTTTACTTTGGTTAGAGCATGCAATTTAAATATTAGGATTTATAATTTAATTTATTGATTTAGTGGATGATGATAAATATGATTTTAGCTAATTCTTTTAATCATAAAGAAGAATAAAAAAATAAATTTAATAGTTAAATCAGGTTTTATATTTAAATATTTTTAGTAATCAGAAAATTTGGGAGAGGATTTAGCTTACTTCAACCATTTGATAAAAAAAATTGAACTAAATGAAAATAAATTTCAAGATAAAAATACGTTGTAATTTTTTCAACGATATTTTACATTATTCGCTATGTATTTTATCAGTAATGGATCTAAACGTAATACTAGTATTCATACAAATGAAAATTCAAAAGACAATATAATTGATGCAATTGGTTTTTAGATGTTCAATTAAATTTATAAACTAGAAGATTGCGATTCAATATTATTTATCATGAATTTTTGTAAGCCAACTGCTAATAAGAATGGAATGACTTTAAATGCAAGATAAATAGTTTAAGATAGAACCTCACAAGTTGTCGTTTATTAGTTGGCAAATTGAAATTATCTATGATGCTGAGTTGTACATAGAAATTTTCATTTTAACAATCTAATTGTTTTCAGTGGTTTATAATTTAGCACAGAAATACCTTTTAATATGGTGGATATACAATAGTATTTAATTTATCTTGTAGAAGCACATCCCTCAATATTAATGCGAAATTAATCCTTTTTATGAGAAACTCATTCTAAGGTGTGTTTAAGCTAATAATATTTACCTAAATTGTAATTTGACCAGAATTATTGACAACAAAGATATCTTCTTTAAACATGTTAAATTAATCTTAGTTACATAAGATATATGAATAACAAACAATCCAACTTGTGATAGGTTGATGCTAATTGATTCACAAATATATATATTATTTTCTTAAATTATCTTTAGATAATGATTATGTATATTCATATATTATGGCCATTTCATTTTCTAACATTTCCTTTAGGATAATAGAGAATGTAAAATAGCAGGCTTCAAATTTTGCTTCTTTTCAAGTCTCTCACCAATGATAGCCAAAGACTTTTTAATATAAGATCAATAATTCTATTGAACTATCATCGCATAGATAATTACAATTAGGCAGAATAATTGTAGAACTGTTTTTGTTGCTAAAGAGAATTATGAATTTCATCTCTTTATCTAATAGCTGATTTTTCCAAGCACTTCTAATATCATTATTGAATAGTTATTACTCTCTTAATAATATACTATTCATTTAATATATACTCATTCTTATTTAAATTAACATAATCTTGATAAATTAATTTAGTAATATATTTTTTGAAAAAATAGTATTAATATCTATTCATAAATCAAATTGTAATAGAACATTATAAAATTCATTGATAAGTTCAGTAAATTACTGGTTTGAATCTAATTCAATAGCAATGAAGAACTAGTCACACTTCTTTTAAAAATCTTTTATCCATATATAGTATAAAATTATATTATTGTAAGAAAATTCGAGTATTATAAATTAAAATGCTTAATTGGATATTTCTATTATTAAAACCTGTAAGGGTATTTTCAAAGAATAAATTGGATGAGAATATTTCTTATTTTTTTCTGAATCATTAATATTAAATTTCTTAAATAAATTAAGAATTAAAATAAAAAATTTAGTTTGTTATGAGACATAAATATTCAGGTTTTTTAGATAAAGGATGGATTGAATAAATAACTATAATAATTATAATAATTATATTCATTATAATTTTTTTTAGCTTGTATAAGTTTTAATAGTTTTGAATCTTTTTTTGTTTTAATAATTAAATTATATTTGATAGATGATAGTCATTAAAGTATTTTAAATATATTTTACACAAACATGATTAAATAATAATAATTTTCTTTAAAATTATTTAGAAGAATTAATTTGAATGAATTATACTTTGATATATTTATTTCTTTGACACATCTAAATTTATTAACCCTTAAGATATTAATTATTAAAATACTTGTATATTTCAATTTCATAATTATTGTATAATGTCAGAGTCTTCATTTTCTAATATAATATTTGAAGATTTTGAAGTTAAATCTTTATTTGAAGCAACTAAACTTTAAGATTCAAAACCTGCAGTTGCAAAAATTCTTTTTTATTGATCAGTTCTAATTAAAAATTCAATTTCATCATATTTTTTATCTTAATTATTATTAGTGATTTGATTTCATTATCTTAATCAAAATTAGAGCTTTATTTTATGATTTTTATGAATACAATAAATTATCGGTGTTATTTGCCATGGATTATTATTCATAACCAGATTATTACTTCATAAATGAAGTAAATGAAGCGGATTTAACACGGATTTTTCTCTAATAAATTTTGTTAACTGACATTTGAATCACGTATAGCTAAATCATCATAAGGTATTTGACTTTAACTAAATTATGATAATTATAATTAATTTGAAAATAATTTAAAAAATGCCATTTCATATTATGATGCATATTAATAAAATTCTAATGCTCTCATATCCTTATAATATCTACGTTTATCTATATTAATATATAGATAATATTAATAAATACATTCTTTCATAAATTTAGTCAATAAAGGACATCTTGTTATAATATGATCATCATTCAAACAAAAAGCATATTTTTATTGGTAAACCTATATTAAATAATATTTTATCTCTTCATTAATAAAATAATTGTTAAAATATGATTACTTTATCATTAAAATTTAAACTTTATAAGAATGTTGTTCTATCTATTTTTAATAATCTAGTTAATCGATCACTTTTAATAGTTAAATTTCTTGGTTTTTAATATAAAATCCTATTTTTCCAAATGAATCATTTTATTTTAATATCTAGATTTGTTTAAATTTAGTATGATTATAAAAATAAGTAATATATATTATTGGCTACAAAAGTTAAGAATATACAAACCATCTCAATTAAATTTTATTAATAATGAAATTAAGTGAGATATAAATCTACTTCTAAATTTAATAAAAATATAGATTTAGAAAACATTTAACCAAAAAAAACACAGAATAATTATCTCCATAATCAATATTTTAAAATATAAATGTTTTACAATCTATAGATAATAAAAATACTTCTCTTTAGAGATTTAATTTAATATTAAAATCTTTTTTCATTTTTATTTATTAATCTTTTAATTCTTTAATTTTTTTATTCATTAAATCTTCATCTTAATCATTTTCTTATTATTTTTCATTATTATTAAATTAATCTTATTGTTGTTTCTCTTATTTCTATTTATTATCAAAAGTCTTATTAAATTCTTCATAAAATTTCTTAGTAGATTATTTACTAAACTCATCAAAATCAAATTCTTTATATTATTTTTCATATGTCTCTGTAATATATACAGAATCACTAATTTCATCATCTGAATGATATGAACCTACAGAAGATATGACTGATAATTCTTCATCTTCTTTAAATTCTCTTACTTAGCTTATACACTCACTCTCTTCACTTTTATTAGGATTATCTCGATTGCATTCAAAATCATAAAATACTCTGTACATTCATGATTAAATAATTCACAAAATCATACCATTGTAACATATGCTAAATATATTCCAAAGAATTAATAGAAAAATGTTTTATTAATGATTGGAATTAAATTAGAATTAAAAAACTATAAAAGATGAAAATGATAGAAATGCACGCTATAATTTTTATTTAGTAATTATTAATAAATAAAAGATACATATAAGTAAATATATATATATTATAGAAATTATGGATGATAATCACCTATTGGAGATATTTGGGCAATATGATCATTAATTAATTTATAATTATTAAGTACAGTAAAAATGACAGAAGCTAATGAAAAAGGTAATATAAAATAATAAGATATGAAATTAAAATATTTAGCTACAATATCAGGAACAGAAAAAGGAAAATATAGAAAACCAGAAAGAGGAATGGTTAGATAGATTTTAATTTTTAGAAATGTTTGTTAGAATAGCAGAAGATAAATATATAAAAAATTGTATTGTTAAATCATTTGAAGAAGCTCTTTAATGGATATGGAATGATCATTTAAAAAAAGAATTTAATAAATATCATACTTAAATATTTAGAGATAATAAATTTTGAAATGAATAATGTGATATTTGTATGAAACATCATAAAACTATTCTAGATAGTATATACATTAGATATAGTGTAAAAAAGGTTAAACCTGGTTAAAACCATTATTGAGTTTATAAAAGTTATAAGAAATGTGTGCTTATTGGATTAAATTAAATTGTAACTTTTGGACCTAATATACCTTTATATGCATTTAATAAAGCTATGATGACATAAATAGACGAACTTTATTCAGATAGAATATTTATTACATTTAAAAATAGAATAATTAATTGGAAATGTTATATATTATTTTCAGATTTATATGCATTACCAAATTAGAGTTATTTCTAAGAAGAATGGGATTAAATTAATAAATAATTAAATAATTAAATAATAGATGATGATATAGATGACTTTAGTTGATATTATTAAATTTGATCACTAATTTTCTTATTAATATTTCTAACGATTATGCCAATATGAATTTATATTATTTTTGTATATCTTTGGACTAAATAACAATCATATATAAGTTATCTATATATTAATTTTTTTATTAAATCTATTATAAACTAAGTTATTTCATCTATTTTTTTAAATTTCATCATACTATATTATTCTTATTATCTTAATTATTATCATTTTTCATTTATTTTATTTATTCATATTCTTATCATCTTAAACTTTATCTTACTAATTAAATAAAAGTGATAAATAGTAATTTTCTATGATTTTATTTAATATCCAGTTATTGATTAACATTATTCATTAAATTAATTCATTTTCATTTAATTATCTATATCTATTGATATCTATAAGCATAAAAATCATTGAATTATTTTATTTTTTTATAATTAATACATACTATTTTATAAATAAACTATTAAACTAATGTATTAAATCAATTAAAATATATAACAAAGTATATTAAATTATTTTATCAAAAAGAGAATAATTTAATATCCTTACTATCTATAGGAGTCAAATTCAAAAAATATTTAACTTAATTAAAATAGTAATAATAATCTAATATTACATCTACACTATAATCATATACTATATACTAAAATTGTTAGTTAGACATATTTTATATTAAAAAAAATAATATGAATGATTAATAATAATTCAAAAGCATTACATAAAATATCTAATTTTAATTAATAATAAAATCAAATAATTCATTACTTACACCTATTATTAAAATAACTATTATTTTTTGTATAAAAATAAAAAAATTATAGGTTGTATATTCATTAGGAGTGGAATTGTAATTATATGAATATTGGAATAATAAAAAGTTAAAGATTTTATATGATTTTTTAATTGAATAAATATTAGTAGTGTTTGATTGAAGATTAATTCTTATAATAAATATTTAGATTAAGGGAATATTTAAAAGATGATGAATCTAAATTAGCTATTGAAAAGCTATTAGAATTATAAATTAACTAATTTCATATATATATACTCAAATTTATGGCATAATTGGATGATTATTTTGATAAACAAAGTTATGTACCCTAAGAAGTTACTCACTCTTTAAGATTAAAAATTCGATGAAAAAGTTACAAAAATTTAACTAAACTAACATCATTAAGAAAGTAATATCAATAATAGTAATGTGAAAAAACAAAAAAAGAAATTGACTAATTAAATTTATTTTAAGAGAAAATAAATATAAGTGATAAAGTTTATGAAGTAGTTCATAATGATGTTTAAGTATATTATAATAATATAATAAAGTAATTAGATAATGATTCAAAAAAATTTGAAGCAAACTCAAAATCAAGTACGGCACCTGATCATATACTTGATTAAAATTATTAATTTGAGTTTGCAATTATTTTTGTTAAGTTTAAATTTCTGATAAAGCATTAAGAGATTCTTATTTAATATAATTAATATAACTATCAATTAATTAATATTAAAGTAGATATTATGTTTGTAATTATTTACCTAATTATACAAATTATTCAATCCATTAAGGCGATGTAAAAGTATTAACATAATCATTAACTTAAAGATCTAAACTTTAAGTTTATAATCTGATTTAAAGTACTTATAATTCACATAGTCTTTTTTGTAAAAGTTATTAATATTAATAGATTGATTATTAGACATTTTATGGATTATTTTTGGTGGTATTAATATTAGGATATTATTCACCATAACTTCTTACAGATGTTTATTCATCATCAGTTGAATTATATGAATCTCTTTTATCTTTATATTTAGAATAATCTAATAAATAGTTTATTAAGAAATTACCTTTCCCAGCAGAATTCATTTCAGAAAAACTGACATTCTCTAGATTGCTTGGATATAATTTTTAATGAAGGATCAGAATTCAAAATTTTGTTATAACATTACTTTATTGAGTTTTATGTAGTTTCTTTGTTTTTGGCTTCCAAAAGACTTTCCAAATTTGATTTTTTCAAATATTAAAATCTATACATATTAATTGTAATTATTTTTCAATCTAGCCATATTATGATAAGTGTTTATAGATTTAATCATGAGTAATTGTTAATTATTTCTTATTTTGAATACAAAGAAGAACGACCTCTCTAGCTTCTTTAGCTAAATTATGAACAGCCTTTTAATAGATATTTATATTTCTTACTTCATTAACTCTTTTAATAGGTGCAAAATCAACTGCTTATTATTTGGCAACACCACCTGTTCTTACTTTTGTAAAATCTTCTCTAGCTCCACCTCTTTAAACAGCTAATGATAAGACTCAAGTGGATTCTTGCCTGTCAATAGATAAATGCACTATTTCAAATACATGTCTAATTATTGCTACAGCCTTGACTATTTTTCCTGTATTTCTATCATGAACCATAAGTGCACCAGCCAATCTTTCAACTATGGGGCATTAAGCTTTTCTAAACTTCTTTCTTTGATAGTAATCACACATATATATATAACATCCAGCAGTATGGGGAACAAACACACATGATTTTAATGTCTGAACTGCAATATAATCTTTGAAGCATTAATCTGCTAATTAAACTTCATCATAATCCCATTTTCCAAATAATTTTGGTTGATTTGCAAATTTAAATGTGGCTACAGATTCTTATTCAGCCATTTAAAATTTCATATATAAATATATACATTATTTTATTTAGATAACATACTTATCATTAATAAATCTTTTAATTTTGGAGGTAAAACAATATCATTGTATTCTAGAGCTTTCTTAAACTCTTAAATACTACAATGATCTCCTTATAATTACATGTATGATACTATTTTATTTTAATTTTATTTCATTACCTAATATATTAAATAATATATACTTAACAGAATTGATTATGTAATACTTAATAAATATTCATCATATGAAATTAATTCATATGATTTTATTAAATTTCTCAATATACTTATAAACCATCGATCAGATGAAATACGAAAAGGGGAACTCATATGAATTAATTAATTATATAATCATATTATATCAAAATAAATAATTGATTTACAACATTCTCAATTTCATAGATCATTATTGAACTAGTAGAAATGTTGCTAATTTAAACATAAGCCTCTTTTAGATAAATAATAGACTGTTAATTTCTTTACTAGAAAAAAATAATTTAATTAATCTTCTTAAACTACAAAAACATAAATATATATAGGCTCTTATTACACCAATAAAAATTGAATTTAAGACAAAGCATGATCTCAGATTTATATGATCATATGTAAATTAATAACAGTATTAATTTACCAAAAATAGAGGATTTTATAGATTTTAATTTGGTTTATCCATGTATTTAAAAATTGTAAAACCAAATGAAAAGTTTAAAGAATTATAGGTTATTATCATTAAAAACCTTAATAATGATTATAAGCCATTTGACATTCAAAGATAATATAAATTATTTATTTTGAAATATGTATTATTAATTCAAAAATAAAATAAGTTTCTAGTAATTACTTTCACTTCTTTTTTTTTCGTAATTAAATACCAAATATGTTATAATTTAGGATGTAATTGCTTTAAAAAAACTATTATAAGACTCAAAATCAAAAAGCTCATCTGAAAGAATCCTAAAATAACTTTATTTTCATAAGAAAAATAAATCTGAGGAATATTAAAATATAAGAACAAGCTTAAACTAAATAATGTTAAAATTCCTTCAACTAATAACAATATAATCCTATCAAAATTAGAACACTATTTATATTTATATATTAAGTAACATTAAACAAAACTGCTGACAGATATAAATAAGCATTGCAAGATATGTTCATCTTAAAATAATATTAATACTGTATGAAAAAACGTTGTTCTCAAAATATCTAAAGTAATATATCTTAATTCTAGCCTTTTTACTGAAATATTTTTTTACTTAACTTAATTGAATAAACTTAATGATTTTAATGAAAAGCTAATGTACATGAATAATATTAAGGTTGCAAAAATAGATGTTAAAACACTCCTTAAATTGTTTATTTAATTATAATAAAGTTATAAAATCACTTTGAATATTAAATCCCAAGAATTAATATAAAAGAGTTGTATTATTTAATCATAATTTTAAAGATATCTTGATTTCATTAATGATTTGATACAACTTCTTAAACTTATTTGTAAATTAATTATTGAAATTTAAATCTTAGATTTTTAAGTATTTTAGTGCTACAATATATATTTCGTTATATAAAAAAGCATAGAATAAATTTTTTTTGCCACAAAAGGTAGTGTTACCAATCCTAAAAACTAAATTAATTAAGGTAGAATATTGGTAAAAAGATCAGCTTCTATATTATATAATTTAAATTTTCCACTAAGATCGATTTATTTTTCTTTTCTTGTTATAAGATTTATGTAATCATCGATTTCAAAAACTTTTAAATAAGACGTTATAGATAACAAATCATATGCTTAAAAATATATCTAGAGATTTTCTGGGTAGTCTACAGTAATAAATCTTAAGTATTATTGATATTATAAAAGATTCAGTGTTTCTACAACAATCTAACTTTCACCAGCAACTAAAGAAATTACAGATAAAGAAATTGCTCCTATCATCAAAATTTTATTTGTTTTTTAAGCACTTGCAGATGTTGATTTTAATTATTCAGATATTATTTTTGGTTATTAAAGGGTAATAGATTCAATAAGATTATTAACTGTTTAATTATTTTCGTTAACAATTTCTTGATTCAACTAAACAAAAAGAACTGGTTTTGTTGAAAGCTATAAAAATATTTCAATCACAATTTAATACTAAGCATATTAAAGATCAAATGACATTTCTTAAATTGTATTGATTGTGATGTCATAATTTTAAGAATCCAAATCACTAATGCTTATATTAAATAAGTCTTAGTCTTTTATTATTTAATCGCCATATTTAACTTGTTCATCATATGTAATTTCAATATACTAAAGAGCAAATTATTAATCTTGATATGTTAGTTTCATATTAGGTTTTTAAGAGTAAACACATTCAGATTTTCGGCATAAACTATTTCCATAAAATAACAACTCTTATAAATTTTAACTATTTATAATTGAGTCATTATTATCTTATGATAATTCTATGTTATCATTTTAGATATTTAACAAACATTAATTATTTTTGAAGGAAAAATCTATATCACATTTAAGACATATTCCTTTTTAACAAACTAAACAATTTTATATACATTAAAATTAGCATTCAAAACATCCATCATAAGGTTAATCATTTTAATCATCACACTCTTCATATTCATCAATTACAATACCATCTCCACAAATAGGAATACAAGAAGTTTAATTAAGTAAAGAACCAATTTAACATTAATATTTGCAATCATAGCATCCATCATAAGGAGTATTATTTAAATCTTCGCATTATTCATTACCTACAACTATACCATCTCCACATAATGGCAAACAATCATTACTAAAATCATCATAGTATAATCCAATTAAACCTTCACATTATTTTAATTATTCACAAATTCCTTTTGCTTATACAACTATTAAAGGAGATTCACATTCCATACACTTTCCAAAAAAACAATTCAAACATTCCATTTGACATTAATAATTACATTTGAAACATCCATCATATGTCAATTCATTACCATCATCACAAGCTTCATTACCTGAGAGTATTGTATCCCCACAAATTGGATTACACGAAATACTTACAATATCTAAATAGAATCCTTCAAAACAATGAGTGCAAACTCCATAAGCACATAATTTACAATATAGAGGACATTAATACTTACAATTGAGACATGTATCTACTTCATACTAATTGCCATCATCGCATTCTTCTTCCTAAACTATTATACCATCACCACATTTAGGCATACATTTATTTCCATAATATCCAAATTCACATTCTAAACATTATGAAAGTAAGCATAATTTACAATTTTTTGAACATTTATTCATATTATAATCAATGATAAGTGTACTAGTAATCAAATCTAGGCATCCAAATTAACAAAGAATATATTAGTTATTATTTAATAATTTACAATTAGGCTACTCATATATTGCTAGTACAGGTTGTATAGATTTACATTTATTATTTAATAAATCTAATTCATAATTAATTTAACATGATTGACATATTCCATTCAAGCATATTTCACAGTATTGAGTACATTAAAATTTACATTAAAAACATCCATCATAAGAATTTTAATTACAATCATCGCATTCTTCATTCCCAACTAAAATTTAATCTCCACAGATTGATTCACAAAAGAATAAACCTAATCTCCATCCTTCTTTACACTCATAACAAATACCTTCAATACATTGAGTACAATTAACATCACAAGTTTATTCACATTAATTATTACAACTATCATCATTAATTAGATTCTAATCATCACACTACTCTAGATTTTCAATAATGCCATTACCACATTCAGTTGTACAACTCAAATCATACTGACAGGTAATTTTGATACAATTAAAATATTCATCCAAAAGATACCCATTACTGCATAATTAACATCCACCTTAAGCACAATTAAGACAAGTTTCTTAACATTTTGATTAACATTTATTTTCATTTAAATTAAACTCTTATGAACATTAAAAACATTCACCGTAAATACATTCAATACAATGTTCATCACACTCAAATTTACATTAATAGCAACCATCAAATTACTGCATGTTTTAATCATCACATTCTTCCCATCCATTAATAAATCCATCCCCACATAAAGATTCACAAATTTATAACTCTTAATTAAAATACAAACCCTTTTAACACTGCCTATTCTTTATGCATATATTCTCATAAAGTTCATATTATTCTGCACATTCAAAGCATTAACCATAATGACATTAAATACAGCTTTCCGAGCATATAGAAATACAAGCACCTTATAAATCCAATTTATAATCTTTCTAGCATGTTAAGCATTCACCATTTATGTTGAATTCACATTCTGGAAGGTATTCAATCCCATTCTCTTCAACATAACAAAATCCATCCAAAAGTTAATAATTTTAGTTGCATTTTTAACATAATCCATTTATGCAGTTTAAACATTACTAGCTACAAGAATATTTGCAATAATAACAACCATCAAATTATATATAATTATTATCTTCACATTATTCATCATGTGTTATTATTCCATCTCCACACTTAGATTCACAAATATTTGTAAATTAATTAATATAATATCCATTTTCACATTTAAAACAAGTATCTTCAAAATATAGTTCACATAATTTTGGAGCATTAAACATACAACTTAAACAATTTTGATTATCCATTTCACAGTGTTCATCATGTGCAAGTATTCCAATTCCATAAGATGAAATACAAGAAAAACTATCATTAAAATAATAGCCACTTTGACAACTAATGCAATTGTTTTCATCACAAGCAGCACAATGATCAAAACAATAAGTGAAATATAAATTTGGAGATAATTTATGTTAATATTGACAAAAACTCAATGGGGCTTCTTCAAAATAGTATTTCTATTCTACTTTACCGAAGTTGGTGTAATTATGGCATTAAATGAAATCGATGCCAATTTAGATTTAACAGTTTTCAATTTCAATAGAATTATATTAGAAAGATTTAACGCAATAAAATTAATCTGAGGATAATTCATATCCATCTAAGCATTGTTAACATAGACCAAATTAACAGAAGTAACAATTCAAATCACAAGTAAATTAACAAGATTTACATTTCTATTAATTCTGCAATGTATCACATTATTCATTATATTTCTAAACTCCATCTCCACATATAGGATAACATTTAAATGATATTATGCGATAACCTTCTTAACAATCATAACAAACTCCTTAAATACAATAAATGCATGATTCTTAACAACTAAATTAACAGTTATGACATCCATCTCCAATTATTAAATTGCCATCGTCACATTGTTCATCTTCGGTAATTATTTTATCACCACAAATTGAATAACATAAATTATCAATACGATTGTAACCATCTTTACATGATAAACAACCAATTCCAGAAGTACTACAAGTCAGGCAAGAACTTTGACATCTTGCTTAGCAATTAATACAACCTTTATATGGTAATATAGATGAATTCTCACATTGTTCACCACTGACTATCAATGAATCTCCACAAATTGGTATGCATATATTATTATTAGTGAGAAAAGAACCATCAATACAAATGCATTATCCATTTAATAATTGTCTATTATTACTAATTAAACATTCTATACAATAGGTAGAACTTAAACATTAATTACATTCAATAGGACAATTAAAACATTAATTTGAATCTTCATATTGATTCATTGTACAAGTACATCCTAATTTAGATTAAGTATAAGTAGGTTAGCATGTTTAACAATCTATTTTTGATGTACATGTTAGACAAGACGATGGACAATCGAAACATCTAACAGATTCCTTATCATAGTATTAGTTAATCTAACATTCTGCTTAAGAAAATTTAACAATATTAATATTATATGTGCTGTTCCATTGTGTACATGTACTTTAATTGGAACATTATAAACAATAAGGTTAGCAATTATGAACTGCAATATAATAATTATAGAATCCACAATAAGCTTTAATTGGTTCATTATTTGGACCAAAACATTCCCAAGTAATTGTTAATGTATTTGAATTATGATTTATTTTCTCATAAACTTTATCGTATTTTGCCCCGTCAGAATAAGTTGAATAATAACTAGCAGTTGATTTAGAAACTGGTGTATTATTTTCAATAGAATATATAAAATTTCCATCTGAAGGGAATGTTGGTCCATAAACTATATAAAAAGCAATAGTAAGGCTATGATGAGGAGTTATTATATTATGAATCCTTTAAAACTTAGCTTAGGACCATATAAAAGGTCCTCCAAAAATTCTAATTCTTTAAAAATAAGAATAATAGATATCTGATCCTTTTAAAAAGTTTGTTCCACTTTGAGAAATTAAAGTATATTACGCATATTATCCAGGATCAGCGGCAGTATTAATATATTCTTTAATCAAGTACTAAGAGTCTAAATATAATAATAAAATATACAAGGTGTTTCATCATCAAAATCATAACAATAAGAGCCACTTTATTTCTGATATGGAGATGAGCAGCCACTTGTACAAGTACCATCTCGATAATTTAGGAATCCACTTGAACAAGTTTAACATTTAAACGATACTTCACACAATAAGCAACCCCAAGAACAATATCCCTAAGTAATTTCGGCACTATACATTCCCCAGCCTGCTGTGTTAACACTAATCATAATAAATTAAAATTTACGTATAATTCCCTATAGCAGAAAATAGAAAATCATTTTTAGGAATGTCAAGATATGTAATTAATTCATATTTTGTACGTGTGGAATATACAGAATAAGATCCATAGTTTTAAATTTCAGATATTTTTAATTTATGAGTTTGAATTCCAGAATCATTTTTATATATAGATCCATAATAAGTATTGTTAATCTTAAACTATATTCCACAATTGATTGGAATATCATTAAAAGTAAGAATGCAAATTTTCAATCCAATTAAATAGGTTCCATGAGAATAAGTAAACAATCTTTGGAAATATCTAGAGATTCCAGAATTAAATTAAAAAACCCCGTATGTATATATATCAGTAAGAATTGTTGGAAATGTATCTGCATTTAATTAATCTTATATCAATGACCACTTTAAATTTTCAGAATAAGTAATATTTGATGAAATGTAGCCATAATCTATTTATTTAACTAGAAGAGCTTAATTTAAATATAATTACTTTGATAACTTTAACAAAATCCATTTTAATATAATGGAGAGTAGATTTCACAAATATCTTTGCATCCTTAATTCTTCCAATAGTATTAATTAGATGGACAAGGTGGGCAAACACTGTCAGTTGGGGAACCATAATGACAACTTGTACATTAATTGTAATTTGGGCCGTTGCATTAACTACATGAAGGATAGCATTGTATTTTAGAGATATAAATATTTTTTAGTGAAACTTAACCTGTATTTGTATTATATGAAGTAAATGTAATTTTGCCTTAAGTTGGAATATTTGATAATCCAAGTGTAAAATTCACAGTTTTAACTTCAAAAGGAAGAGCATCGCAAAATCCAGATGTCATAGTATAAGTTGTTGGGGATTGGTAGGAATATGAATATGTAAATGATCCTAATGTAATTGACACTGTTTTAGATGTCCATGTACCTTGAAAATATAAATCCACTGATATCCAATACCCAGTTTAGGATGAGTAAGTATGGTAATTTTCAGCAGATGGATATGCTTAAGTTAGGGTAATGTAACTTGTAGAAGGAGTAGTACAAGTAATAAAATTTGCAGTAGTTGAGGTTGATGGCATGTAAAAATATCCACCATAACTAGATCCAATTGTTCCAGTGGATTAAATAAATTTCTTATCTTCGTCTAAGTAACTATTCTATTATTGCCATTATGAATTTGAAAACTCAAATAAGGCAACAAGGATATAAATCACAGAAATATTCATTTATCCAATAATTAAAAATTTTTAAATCTTTAATAGAAATAAAAAAATTTTTTAAAATTGAGCAGTTTTAGTTTTAGGGTTTGCCCACTAGTAGGTATGTCTCAGCAGTCACAGAATGTTGAATTTTCTAACCAAAAATTTTCCTTACCTAATACCTACCATAATCTTTTAGAAGGGGACTAGTATGTTTCTTTCAGCAGTCACATTATGTTGAAT